GTCCTTCCTCCGCGACCTTGGTCTTCAATCTCGCTATTGGCATTTGGTTCCATGTTTCATCATCGAATGGAACTTCCAATACGTAATGCACGTTCTCGACATGCCCATGGAACTCAATACCGCGACAGGCGGCTTTCACCCGCGAGGAATCGCGGCAGCGTCAAGAATGCCTATCTTGACTGCGCTAAACTTCGTGCCGCCAGAGGACACAGATCACCCAACGTGGCAAAGCAGGTTAAGATGTTCGTGCGAGTATCACCCGAATTGACTTGGCAGTGATGTGGACAACTTTTAGGCTGGTACTCTCAGCTATCTGTCACATTTATCATTCGGCTTGTCCCATTTAGTACCTGGATACACACCTTTGACCAGGCGCAAGGGTGATGGATCCCAGTTCATGACTTTTCGGGAGAGACCCTCCATCTGGCACATCATATGGGCCTCAAACACTTCACATAGCTCACCGGCACTGGAAGCTGCCCTTCTCCCCCACCAAAGGTCAGACTGCCATACTCACCTTGGGGTCTCTCTGGCCGAGCTCACTTTCCTTTTTCCCACGGAGGTCTTCAACTCTCTCTACAATGGTTTACACACTACAGAGGCAGGGTGGTCATCTGAAGAAGTGCGTGTATTTCTAGGCCCACTGGGTCAGGGTCTCGGCCGCTGCTCGTGTCTTGCCTGCCGTGGTTGCTGGACAGATCACACGACCAAGACAGCATTTCTGCCGGTCAGTGATGCTAAGCCGGCAGGATAAATTGCCAACTCCAGTTCTCATGCGTTTTGGCCAGCACTCACCGTAAGGCGCCTCGGCCCTTGGAGATAATTCCCCCTGAGCCTGTCAATATCACTGGTCCTCTTTTGTCGGCGGCTACATCACAGGATTAGCTTTGCAGCGGATTTTCCCTTTGTCACATACTCTGAGACCCGTTCAGACGCCTTGGCCATTGAAGCCCTGGCTGCATACACTTCTGCATGTACTGGAGATGGGCAATGCAGTTCCGGCAGTCATACATGCTTCTGTCCACAAATGCCCATATATATCACTGATAAAGACGCAGCTTCCTTGATGGCCCCTCTATTTCATTTCTGTTCAGATGCATCACATGTCCATCTCTCTGATGAGGCCCGCATTCCACAGCTTGCCTAGCACATTTCAAATTTCGTGCTGTGTCACGGCGCCACTGATCTACTTGTGGTCTCTCCCCAATCTTTTTTCCTTTATCAACAGATTTTTTTATTTTTATTTTTATTTTTATTTTCTTCTTTTTTATTTTTTTATTTTTTATTTTTTTCTTCTTTTTTTTCTTCTTTTCTTCTTTTTTTCTTTTTTTCTGTTTTTTTTTTTTTTTTTTTTTTTTTTTGGGCTTTTTTCTTCTTTTTCTTTTTTTCTTATTTGCGCCCGAAAGAAAAAGGTTCCCGAACAACACAGCTCAAGTAGTTGAAGCCCAAACTGACCACAACCGCTTCCTCCTTTCCAAATCCAATTACACAAAAAAGGTTTCCAGTTCCAACAACAGGTGGAAACTGGTTTTGCGGTCCAAGTTTTTCTCGTCTTGGGGCCTTAATTATGGAAATCCAAGAGGATCTGTCAGATGATGACGTCGCTGATTGAACCAAGCCCATCAAAATCTCCATGGCCGTCACGTGTCAGTAACACAAGATAGCAGCGCTAATAGTATTATAAGAGTCCCGTGCGGCGGACGGCTGAAGACCAAAAAGGAATGCAGGTATGATGATATTGGGGCTTTCACGCTTTGCACAAGAGGGACTTCTTCTGCATTCAACAATATCAAAGACCGATGAGACATCGCCAAAGAAAACTTTGATCGGTATTCTGAGATTTTCTTTTTTTTTTTTAAGAAAAAAAAGAGAAGTGCGTGAGCACGTACTACTGGTAGACCATGCGCTTTGATTTGAGCTTGTCACGATAGCTGGACCAATCCCGAGCTACCCTCCAAAAGAAAGTTTGAAACTTGGATTAAAAACATAATATAAACGAGCATTGAAGCTCACAAAAAAGTTCAACGCCATGGCTTGAAGTCTATGTATCCCTCGCTCCTCCAGACACCCCCGAAAAGAATAAATACTGATACGCTGTACATGTTTACAAACTGGCAAGCCATGGCCTGCCTCCCCTCCCCTCTACTGCATGGCAGATTGAAGCTCTTCGGCGAGCCTAGCGCTGGTAAAAAACCTTTAGCAAACAGCAATCAGGTATGCTTGATATAAGGAGAACTGCTTACTCTGAGTCATCAGCCATCCCGGCAATCGGGGAATCATTCTGCTGATGAGAGTTTGAATTCGAACCCTCCGAGTTCAGGTTCTGATTCCCCGTGTCGACCAGCAAGTCCGGATGCAATAAATGGTGATTCGATGTCACATCTGTCGTTGGAGATGGCTCCTGGGCCGGCTGTTCCTGCGCACTCGCACTCGCACTCCCATTCCTGTTCCTCTCGGCATCGCCCTCCGGGCTATCATCGTCCGTACTCGCCTTACTCTTCCTCTTCCGATTCGGCTTCGGTCCCGTATACCAGGAACAAGAACTCGTATTGTCAAACCACTTACAATTCGAACAACTATCCCCATACTTCCCCGGCAGCGTCCGACAGGAAGGAAACGGCCCCAGGGCATTCTTGTTCCGTCTATCAACGCACTGAACGCATTGATTCGTGGCGTCGTTACCCCTTGAATGAATAAGCAAACCGTTGACGTAACTCGGTCTCCGAGAAGCAATGTGACGAGCTGTGATCCATCCTGAAACAAAGTAGATGACTTCCCGACTGGGCATTTTGAAGACGTCCTTTTGGGTTTCGTGAACCAATGAAGCTTCCGTGAGTGCCTCCCGGATTGTAACGGCATGAACGATGATGGGACGTTCTGTCTTGGCGGCGTTCCATTTTTGGACCAGCGGGTTGTCCTCAAAGTCGGCTTCTTTGACTGTCATATTTGGACGGCCTGGAGGACGACCGCGGCGGCGGGCTGGAAATGCTGCTGGGGTTTCTGAGGATTCCGTTCCGGGGGTTCCTGTCGTCCCTGTCGTCGTGGATTGCTCAGCAGCAACGGCAGTAACATCTTCAGAAGGAGATATTAATGACGAATCGTTAACCATGATTGCATCCGAGTCCGTTGTAGCCGCCGTTGCCGTTGCCGTTGCCGTTGCTGGCTCAACATTCTCAGCCATGATGATGATGGTCCGTCTCAGATTAGATCGAGATGGGGGATCCAAGATTGGAACCACTCCCCGATCGAATGGATATATCGACGACAGTCCGAGTGTAAGTGACCCAAAACAAAGACCAATATGAGATGCAAATGGGGCGAGCCAAGTGTTCCTACAAGAAAGGCTTGATAGGATCAACCGGATAGAGGTAATTAAGATGGATATTCTGTAGAAAGAAAGTCGTCGACGGGTTTTTGGGGCGCTTTTTTGACTTGCTGGTTCGATGCACGGACCATCTGGGTCTCAAAATGCATGGCAACGTAATCCATGTCGCACACTTTCAACTTTGCAAGGGAAAGACGGGATCAGCCGGTCATTTCTTCCACTGACGGTCGGTAGTGAACCCACCCATCCGCTGTGGCACGGTGCCTGGATTCCGTAACTCTCACCAACCGAAACAACTTTCCAGTCCAAGGTCTCGCAGTGCTTTCTTTTGCATTTCCTTTTGTCGCCTGTGATTTATTTTTATTTCCCAGCGCCGGCGCATACTCAAACCACAGGTCAAAAATGTCCAACCCGAACGCCCTCCTCCTCCTCGCCGACCACATCAAGCTCTCCCTCCTCGAGCGCCAACGAGCCAAGCAACTCAACCTCTCCAGCGACTCTCAAGATGGGCAGGTCTCCCGATCCCTCGACCAATTCCAGGAAGGACTCGACGCCCTCGAGAAGGAAGTAAAACGCCTAGAAGAATCAGGCGACCAAACGTTTGTGTCTCCCTTCCCCCTTCCTTTAGTTGGTCGCTCGGTGCTAACCTCCACCCAGTAAAGCCTCCACCCTCTCCTCAACGCTCACAACCCTCCGCAAACAACAATCCGACCTCCTCTCCCAATTCCAAACCTCCTCATCCTCATCCTCATCCCCTTCCGCCGCCATCCCCCCTTCCCTAACAAAGCCAAACGACCCCTCCCTCCTCCCAGACTTCAAACACGCCCAATCCGCCGCCTCCACCACCTCAAAAACTGTTCGCTTCTCCTCCCCGGACCAAGACATCGAAGCCCAACAGTCCCGCTCCGCCCTCTTCAACAAACCTTACACCGATCTGCCAGAAGATGAGGACGAGGACTCCTCCGGCTACCGGGGACAAGCCTCCCAGCTGACAAACACCCAAATCCACGCCTACCACGAGCGAATCCTCTCGGAGCAGGACGCACAGCTAGACACGCTATCCTCTTCCATCTCCAGACAGAGGGAACTCTCAATGGCAATAGGCGACGAACTGGACGAGCAAGTACTGATGCTGGACGAGTCTGAACGAGCGGCTGATAGGCAAGCTAGCGCTCTGCAGCGCGCGCGTCGCCAGGTGGGGAGGATAGCGAGCAGACAAGACGGAGGGGAGAATACGAGGCACATGGTCATTATCGTGGTTTTGATACTCATTTTGGTTTTGCTGATTGTTGTTCTCAAGTAATGAGCAGTTGAGCAGAGTCAGTTTGGTCGGATTTTGTTGCATTTACGGGCGTTTAGCGATTAGGATTTTAATTTAATGGGCATGATATGATAGGCCATACATAGAAGGTGTTTTTTTTTGTCTCATTTCTTTTCTTTTTGGTTGGTTGGTTGCTTTTCTCAGGAATATATATATGTCGTTTTTGTTTCTTGCTATTCGATCACTTGGTCAACTTAAATATCATCATGCATGTCCTCCCTCACTTCGGATATAAATCCAAGAACCTTCCTTATTCCGGCAGCGGCAGCAGCAGCAGCAGCAGCAGCATTCCCACCGGACTCATGACCCATTCTCCCGACCATTACCTCCAACACAACACCCCCAGACCGATTAGCCCGATTAGCTCAGCTGGTTAGAGCGTCGTACTAATATCATCTCACAAAGATAATATCTAGTCAATGCGAAGGTCAACAGTTCAATCCTGTTATTGGGCATTCTATCCTTTTTCTTTTTTTTTTCTTCGCTTTTTTCCTTTTGCTGTTTCTTTTCCACTTTCCCCCCGTTACTTTTTTTTCTTTCTTTTTATTCTTTAATACACATCACCATCATTCATTTACATCACAGGAAGAAGAGGGGAGGTTTTTTTTTCGCTGCAAAATAATTAAAAAATGCAAATTAAATACACACACGCGCTCCCACCAACCCCCAAAAAACACACCATCAGGAAAGAACTCAGTTTTGTCAAAAGATCAACGGCTGTTTTTCGTGTGTAGAATTCTGAATCGACTAATCTGTGAATCATGCATCATGACTTTCCCTTTTTAACCGGAATCATCAACCACTTCCGCCCAAAAGAAAACCAACGTTCTTCCTCTGTCCATCCTTCTTCTTCCTTCTCTTCCAAACCAAACCTCTCCATATGAACGGGGAAAAAGGAGCCAGCCTCTTTTTTTCTCTATCCCTAGCGTTTGTCTGTACTTACCCAGTGTAAAAGAAAACTCCGATGATATTTCCCCTGACAAACCAAAATATCCCCAAACCCATCTTTTGCTGAAAAACAATCTGGGTATCATCGTCTTCTTCTTCTTCTTCTTCTTCTTTTTCTTTTTCTCCTTCTTCTCTTTCTTATGTGTCTTGTGAAGCACTCTGACCGGCTTAAAGCGGCCGACAGCTTCCTCTCTTTCTCGTGTGCTTTGTGAAGCAATCTGACTGACCCTCATTGGCCGATAACTTCTTTTTCTATTCCCTTGAAAGCCCTCGCGAGATTTAGCCCTCTGGATGGCCCTCAACGGATAACTGCTTCGTCTCTTTCTATTCCCTCAAGGCCCTCCAGTATATCACTTCCTCCGAGTATGCCCACCTTGCCAGCTCTGATCTTGCTGTCCGCCGGCCAAATCTCATGGAATTTGACGCTCTTATCGCTAGAGGCAACCACAATGCAACCCTCCATCGACGGGCGGCTGCGGGGACCACGAGGAGACTTTCGGTTCCCAACCTCGCTATTCCCAACCTCGCTGTTCCCAGTCTCGTTGCGCCCAACCTTGCAGTCAGATGCTGCTAGGTCGCCATCGGCGCGAGCGGAGGCGCGGGCTGGGACGGGGGCGCGGGTGCGAGTGCGAGGTTCAACGGGTCGGCAAGGGTAAGGAATCGCATAGAGAGCTCGCTGCTCACTAGACCAGGGGATCGTAGCGACCTGTCGACAATCAGGCCACGAAAAGACTGCTATGCGAACCGGATGCTCGGGCTGAGCATACCCAAACGTGGCGGCAATCTCACGTCGAGAGGTGGACCAGATCAGGCTTGTCACCTGAGCCGACACCGAAATAGTCGCAAGAGGAGCACCAGACGTGGTGTGAAAGAAGTGGATACACTTGTCGTTAGACCCTCCACCGGTTGCCACGAGGCCCTCTTGCCAGGGGCAAAATGCAATAGCTTTGACGGCGGCGCCATGATGCCATCGAAACTTTCCAAATCCTGCCGGAAGGGGTTTGATATAATGTTCAAAGGTCCCATTCACGCGGAACCCCGAGTGCCTGCCGGTGGGTTGCCAAGTATCGGTGATTCTTCGAAACACGGGATTCTCGTGATCCGTGTCGGTGATGTTGCCCAATGCCTTGGTGGCTTCAATAACCCTGGAAGCCGTGAAGAGATGACAAAGGTTATCGTTGCCTCCGGTGGCAAAGCACTCTCCGTTTGGTGACCAAGCCAAGCCACAGATCTGCTGCGAGTGATTGCTGATAGTGGCCAAGATGGAAAAACAGCCAGGCCAGTTGTCTCTCTCAATCTCCCACCGGTCTGGCCACTCAACCGAGTAAAGATAAACAGTGCCCTTCTCGTTGCCCACCAGGAGCATTTCCGTCTCGACGGGCCGTCCCGGGGTGTAGGGGTTTCTCGAAGGCCACGTAGTGGTTGTTGGCTTCCAGGCCAAGCAGGAGACAGAAGACTCAGGCTGGGGTAAATTCATGCGAGGAATCACGCAAGATGAAGAGCCAGGGGAAGCCGGTTCCACTGCGGCGTCAGGAATCGACAGCAGCTCAAGAGTGCCGTTGGATCTGGCATATGCCAAAATGGCTTTCTCTCCATGTTCAGACGAGAAGGCGACGCTGGTGATGTGAGATTCACGCCGGTCTGAAGATTGAGAGACACCTCGGTTGAGCAATCTGACCCCATCAGTGTCGGACCACGCGTAGAGAAGATTGCCCAGCCCACAAGCCAATGTGTTGGTGAAACCTGAATAGGCCAGAATCGAGCAATAAAAGTCATCGCGGAGATTTGGAGCATCCAAAACCTTGAATGGCGCAGCCGGCAGTGGGCGTAACTCGTGAGACTTGTGGAAGTTCGTGAGCGAACCCTCCTTCACCCACTCCGTGCCATTCCACTGGGTGCGTGTATGAAGAGGCGTCTTTGTGAAGCGCTGCTCGGGGGCATCGGTCAAGATGTTCTTGAGGACTCTGCTTGTGCGGTCGATGCCCAGAGCCGTAGCCACGCGAGCACCGTGCTTCTCAATCTCCTCGTCGTGCTTGAGCTTCTCGGTGGAAAAGGTAGTGCGAAAGAGACGGGCATTGGTTTGACTACTGACCAGTTGGCCATGACCGTTGTTAACAGCTCCGGGCGCAATACCGCCGACAGCCCAGACGGAGCCGACGCTGACCTGTCTCTCGACATCAGAGGGTCTAGTATTCTGGTCGACAGGTCCGAGGACGCGCCCAACTGTCCATGGAAAAGTTAGCAACCGATGGCAGCCACACTAGAATGGGTAGTGGGTAAGCTTACCTCTGATCCAGGATCTTCCAGCAACAAAATCTTCAGTAGGGACCTGAGTAGTAACCATGGGAGTTACAACCCGGCGGGGGAAACAGAATGCATCTTCGGCAGCTCTGTGGTGACGAACCAACTTCTCTGCCTTGGTCAACTCATGCTCTGATTTTGCGGTTCTGAAAATTTCTGCCGTGCTGTCCGTCTTGTCCATCCTCACGGGGATGAAACGATCTAGATGGCGAGTTGAAGCCGCGCGCGAGAGGCTCGGCTCAAGGCCATGATGCTGTGTACGGACGCGTGAATCGGATGAGAGAAAGGCGGGAAAAGCCGGACGGGGACGATTGCGCGAGTATCTCGGTAAAGTGGCTGATTTCTTGTTGTCCGTGACCTTTTCCCCTGAGGCACGGCGATGCGCAACTGGCGGAGAAGGTGCAAGTTCTTCCAAAACGCGACTGCCACCGCCCCGGAACGGATCATCCGATTCAGACAAATTCCCATCAAGGTTCATCTGCAAGTTGGAGGGCGAGAGATCATCTTTGGTGATGGTCAACTGCCGAATGCCTACCGTGGGACTCTTGGGAGATGGCCTGCTTTCGGGGTCGACATCTGTCTCTTGGCACTCAGGAGTCGAGATGTATCCTGAAGCGTAACCTGAATCTGAAGGACTCGAGGGATGGTCTCCGGGCAAGGTGTAAGCATTGCGTTTGCGACGAGACTTTTGGGGGTAAGGAGCCCCAGCGGTCATGATTGAGGTTGGAGCAGGAACCCAGTCCCCGTCCGTGGGGTGGTTGATGTTGCGAATTGGGCCCATAGCGAATTGTGCAGCACCAGGCTGACTGAATATCCGGGTATGGGTAAGTAAAGAAGAGGAAGATTGGTGGTTGAAGCCTATGGCGGAGAAGCTTGTGACGGTGACGTCGAAACGAAAAAGAGAAAAAAACGAGTGAGCGACCTCGAGTGTGTTGGAGTCGCAAATAGCGAAAGTCGAGTGTTTAGAGAGACCAGAATCAGTTGAGATCGATCATGATGGTATGGGAGTGGGTGGATCGTGATAACACTGCTCGGTCGTCGACGGTTTGGATAAGTGTTACCCTGTTGTCGATGTTGCAAAGAAGTAGCAATATTCGCGAGTGTGGTTTTTAGGAAGAGTTGAAGGCATGGAGCAAAAAGAGGTCAAGCTGTTGTGGTCGTCGACGCACAATAACAAGAATAGCCACTCAATGGGATGAATAGGAAGGAGCATACTCGGCTGCATTGTTGGGATGAGATTGACATTGTTAGATTCAATGGCCACTCGGCCATTCAGATGCCAGTATCCAATTGGACCTTCCGATGCCATTCTTCATCCGATTGAAGATTTTTGAAGGAAGAAAATTGGTCAAATGCGTCAATCGCTGTGTCCAGATTCCCCGCTGCGTCGACGCCAGGAAGGGACGTGATGGTTTTTGGAAGGAGCTTGGTGTAAGTGGGAGTTCGTCTGCTGTGATTAGATAAGAGCTTCTGGAGCTGCCCCGCATCCTATCCTGGCCCAGCCTCCCAAAATGGTGGTCGAGTCGGCGCAATAACCCCCGACGTCATCTTGTCGGTGCCAACGGTGGTGTTTGGGTGGTGACAGCGCTTACTGCTTCTGTTCTGCTGTTCTCAACATCAATTCCCGGTCTTTGGGCAAGACATAATATGGCCGAGGTACCTAATTCCATGTACCCCAAATACTACTAAATGGCCAAAATTGACTGATGATTAAGGCTAGTCAGGCGCGTCGCACGGCATAGCCCGAACATCACGAGTCCGGAGCGGGGAACAGCGACAGAAAGATCTTGAAAGAATCGACAAGTACCGCGCCCTCGAGGACCAAGTACGCCAACACGCGACCAACAAAAACTTTTCTCCCGACGTATTCCAACTCACTTCGAAGCTTTTACGTCTCAACCCCGAGTATTACACAGTATGGAACGTCCGCAGGCGGTGCCTAATTTCTGGCTTATTCTCAGAACCCTCGGATGGGTCCTCATGCTCGAAGGAGTCGCCGAGTACTTCTCGATCGGACAATACAGCAACATCGTTCGAATGCTCGTCGCCCACTTCGCTGACCTCGACCCAGCCCAGCCCCGAGTGCCAGACAACTGGGAAGAGTGGTACAACAGTTGATTTGGAGTTGATCAAGTCGGAACTGAATTTTACCATTCCTTTGTTGCTAGAGTCCCCTAAATGTTACTGGATATGGAGTTATCGTCTT